AAAATCCATCCAGGATTGGAGTTTAACTTGAAGATCTTTAGATGTTTTCTTTTTCGTTTTAATAATGAGCTGTACCTGGTCCAATGGGGGATTACCATAGTCTATTTTCGTTCAGGAACGAAAAGAAACTCCGTGATAACTTGGAAAACTTATTGTTTCTTGCTTGAGATATTGACATTCGAACTGGAACAGTTGTACAGGGTTCAAATTGGTATACAATCACCTGATGGGTTCACAACCACGCGAGAGATACTACGACGATTTAGTGATTTCTTAAAGCTATTGTCAGAGGTAAGCTAGTTTCTTCGAGATCCTGCATAGTGTAACAAGTAGGATAATATTTCTACCTCTATTTGTGCATATAAATGACATCTGTGGCTTCATTAAGAATTGATTGGATATTGGACTGAATCTCCATACTTTCTAGATATGGTATTAGTTGATCCAGTTGATCACTTAACATTGCAGTTTCACACCTCTCATTTGTTGCAGCTGAAGAAAGAATTCCCAAAGAAAAAGTTGCCCCCCGCTCCTTCAAAGGGGCTTCTGAGAATGCAAAGCAATGCGCTTTTGGAAGAAGTTAGTAACATCCTATTTCTATCGTTCTCTTTTAATTTTTAAAAAATATAGTTGCATGATGACATCAATCCTAACCTGAAAATTGTTCTTGAGGAATGAGCTGGTAATAAGTGGTTCTTTAATATGGAATAAATCTTGGTATGTGCTCAAGCTGGTTTCATCTCAGCGTAGGTGTTTATTGGAGGATTGGATGACGAAAGTATTGTCTGACATCGAGTTATCAAGAAGTGCTCACATAGGGATCTTTCTTGAGCTTGAAGCAGCTGCAAGGTCATGTAGGTGTCTCCCTGTCTTGTGCTTTTTTCTTGTACTTTCACCAAACAGATGAAAGTTGTGTAATCAACCAGTACTCTATGATTTATCAACCAGATCTTCGTTGAATTGATGTAAACCTTTTTTCTTTTTCTTTTATGAACTTCTCAGCATTCTATGAGTTGAATCAGAACGTTGCAGATGTGAATTCATCCATCAGCGTAGTTCCATCGATCCAATTCTCAAATAGTTCAGATGTTTCTTTGCTTGCTGGTCAATCATCATTTGCTTCTGATTGCGGCAATGATTCTGCTTATGGGACCCCTGAGCTGGGATCACCAACAGAGGGCATGAGCAGGTTTCGCGAACTTGACAACGCAGCATTTTACCAGGGTTTCACCCCTTCAGTTGAAGCAATTTCTGAAGTTGTACATAGTGATAGCAAGCCAGCAAAAGATTCTGAACAAGGGAACCAGGTGAATCGTTCAAAAATGCCTTATACAGGAGATAGCAGTGACGTTTCCACCAAGAGAATCATAGATAATGCTCAAGTCGTATGCAAGGATGAGATGGAGCTTTTCTCTGGTAGAGAAAATCTTACAGCTTTTGGCCATGATAAACAGACTCCTGAAACTGACATTTCTTCAGAAAGAATCTCTGACATTTCAAATTTCCTGAAGCTTGAAGCATTGAGAAATACCTCATATGACTCGGCTGAAGGTTCTGAACTCTTAGAAGGACTAAATGCACCGGCAAGCTCCGACTTACAGTTCCCGGGCCGCTTAAAAGTTGTTATTCAATTGGAAGAACAAACTAAAATGAATAGGATTCTTAGTGCTATGCAACTGAGGCTGGCCACAGCAAAAAATGACATGGAAGATCTCCTGATGAGACTGAATCAAGAGCATGCTGTAAGACAGTATCTTGCCACGAAGGTGTGATTCTTTGTCCAAAATTCTGCAATTCAGACATGCAACCTTACATTTTTTTTCCTATGTAGAATTGTGAGATTAAGATATATTACTTTGGATAATAAGAGACCGAGTATATTGTCATACATTACTCAGCAAATTGTCTTTTGCTTACTGCAGTGATGCATCATGAGATGTCCTCTGTTTGCCCTTTTCTTATATCAATATTATAAATTTCAGTTAATTCTTTTAAAGTTTCCAGAATAACAATTGGTTCCAACAGTGCCCCAGAAAAGCTAGTCTTCCCAACTTTTTGTCTTCTGCCATTCCTGTCCTGTAATATCCTATCCCTAGCTAAGCTCTCTAATGACAAGCTCCTTTCCTATGCTCATAAATTTTCAGCCCCTACATGCTCATGACTTGTTTCTCCTTAACATGCCACCACTCTTTCCTCACTGTAAAGAGAGCTTCATTCAGATATTTCCGTACATAATATGCCACACTTCTCTCTTCCTCCTTATTCCATCCTAAGTATAGGTGGACAATAGGAAATAGGGTTATGAAAGGGCCAGGTAATTTTAACGGATATAATTAGCAAACATTTTACCACTTAGAAGCTTATCTCAACCTGTAGACCCATACTTACTTTAACGGCTTACTTCTCTATTTGATGTGTGGGAGTTATGTTACTCCTGGCTTCTCTATTTTGTGTTATGATAATGATGCTATGAATGTTACCATCTGGGTGGTCTTTGACAGGTTAAAGATTTGGAAATTGAGCTTGAATCTCTCAAACAGAGTGGCAAAGAGAACCTGCAACAAGCAATTCAAATGGAGAGGGAAAAATTTACTCACATGCTATGGGATATGGAGGAACTTAGAAGAAAATGTGTGGAGATGGAATTGAACCTGACGTCTGAACAGGTATACTCACTCTCTTCTATTACAAAATGGGATATTTCTTCTATATCTTGGACAGTGAGCAAGTTCTTCTTGAAAATTGTTAAGGCTGACAAGGTTCAAATGGAATCAACTCAAAGAATCACAATACAAGAGAATGAAAGACTGTACGAAGAGTTGAGTGCTGCTCAACAGCAGATCAATAGCTTGCGGAAACACCATTTGGAGTCAGATTCAAAGTCCAAAGCAGATGTCAAACTTTTAATCAAGGAGATTAAATCTCTAAGAACTTCCCAGACAGAACAGAAGCAAGAGCTCTGCAAATTGGCAAAAGAGAAGGCAGAAGTAGAAGTAATCATTCGCTTGATCAGTTCTTTACTATTGCATAGTCATTCTTTCAATGAGCTGGATGAGTAAAAGTGTAGTTGATTTGTTTTGTTTTTAAAGTCAAACCAAGGGTTTTTATGTGCTTTTCACATTCTGTTCCTGGGGAAAGGGTGACGTTGTAAATTTTTCTTCAAACAACCATCCATTACTTCAATAAGCTGTGCTTATGATAATGATGCTTTCTTTCAGAGGATTCTAAAGGAGGAAAGGCAAATTAGGGAACGTGCTAATGCTGCAAATATTAAGCTGCTGCATGAGTGTGAAATTGTTCGCAATAGACTTGAGGAATGCAGCGTCAGTTTCCTCATCGAGGAAGAAAATAAACTGGTCCTGGAGGCATCTAGCCCTTCTGATGCCATTGATATACTGTCAACATCTGATAATCGAATAGGTCTACTTCTTGCTGAGGTATGCCTCTTTCCTTTATGTGTTTACCTTTGAGTTACTCTTGGTGGCCTTTCCTAAATGCTCCAAATTGTGTACCATTTTGGCATTTTCTCTAACAGAAGTACTCTACATACAATTTGTGTTCTACTTATCAAAAAAAACATAGTACCTTTTATGTTCTACTCAGATGCTTGAGATCATTTACGTCTCTTCTTAAGGTATAGATAGACATCCCAAACATCTCAGCAAAAGTGGAAATGAATACGAAAGAATTGATTTCCTGCCCTAAACGGTATTGATTGAACAATTGGAGTAGGTTATAAACATTTCTTTTGCAGCTTGTGTGGACTGAGCGTCTTTTTAACTGGGTTATATGAGATAATATCATAGTATTATATCGTGTAGAGCCATTTTTATGTTGACCTACCAAACTAGCAATATGAATGTCCGAGATCCAGCCCTATGTGGATGTCTATCAGAATTGACGAGCTATCCTTTACTTGTAATGTAATGTGTAACATAATTGGGTTATATCTTGCACTTGTACCTTGTGTTGGTTGGCCGAGTCATTATGATAATGAGAGAAAAGCTATATGAACATGTTCATTCTTTCTACTTACACGGCTGACGTACACAAATAGTCCTCAAAGTGGATAGTCTTGAATTTTTTGCCCCACTTGCCCCATGGGCAGAACTTCAAGTTTAACAAGTGTTTCCAGTCGCTTGCCCAATGGGCAACACTTTTATCTTTTGACCTTGAAGTTCTGCCCATGGGGCAAGCGTATGTCAACAGTTAAAGACCACACCAAAAAGTATCATATTTCTGCAATGTTTTGCTTATCTTTTTCTTGACTTAAACAGGCCCAGCTGCTTGCAGAAGATGTTGAAACTACTGTTGCTAGTAGAAATCTTGATGGAGGTTATTCAAGGACAGCAGTGGATGAAATGAGGAAACAGCTAGCTGATGTTTACGTTGACAATGCCAAATTGAGGAAACAGATGAACTCTGTCATTCGTTATGCACTCCAAACAGCTAATAGATTGAAGGACAATGAAGAAGAAAGCGCTCCAACAAAGACGGCTCTTACGAAGTTTTTAGAGGGATAATTTATAAAATGCAACGCACGTATCTATAATATGTAAATAAGCTTGTTTAATTTCTCCTCCTCTCTCTTCTACTTCTCTAATAACCTTGTATATATGGCTTACTCCTTCCCCATCATGTAATCCTGACTAATTGGAAAATTGCAATTGAAGATGTAAGTTTGAAATAAAGCTTTCGATTGTGCTGCTATAAACCAAGACTGCAGAGAACCACGGTATAAGTGGTTATTGAAATGTTTTACCACGCTCTGCAATAGAAGTTTGTGCCACTCTTGGAAATTCAAGAGCTTCTCGCCTTCTCAACCACGTGCAGCTCTCAACGACGAATGTCATCCAGCTTACTGAAAATTTACAAGCAGAGCCCTAAGCTATAATAGCACTAAACGAGTTGAAGCTGGCTGCTCAAAAGGATGACAACACGCCACCCTCCATGAGAAAGTGCTTTGAAAAGATCGCACCTATAAAAGTGGATCATCAAAATCAAGCAGTGCAACAAAATTATACCACATTTCATCATTCTAAATCAACCAAATTCACCAAATACATCTGATTCCAACAAATTCCAAGATAGGGAATGGCAGCTCTGGTTATATTCTTTACTACCAATCATGGATTGACAATGTAACTTCCCTATATATTTAACTCGTAAAACTGTACTTTGATTGTGATCACATTATTACTCTCCACCACCAAACATACCCATCATGTCCTTCGCGGAACCCATTTGTTTCATCAAGCTCTGTAGACCACCCATACCACCTATTTGTTTCAACATCTGAGGGGGAAGAACTTTGCTCATGTTTTGTGCATTCATGTTTCTGGACAAGGAACTCATCTCTCCCTTCTTTGGAATCTTAAGCCCCTTCATCTTGCTGCATATCTTGGCAAGTCGTTTGTATTCTTCCAACATCTCCATCACCTCATGCACTAGGCGGCCTGATCCCCTAGCTATACGCATGATTCGAGATTCAGTCATAAGCTTTGGGTTGGTACTGTCCAATTCTGCAATTATGAAATCAATTTCAAATGAGAAGGTTACACATTATCTTAAGTGAGGTGTATAAATAGCTTAACTGAAACTCAATAAAATGTAGCTAACTTGCCTTCATTAGTCATGGAGTCCATCATCGTCATATACCGCTTAATTTTTGCCTGACTTTCTTTTTCGCGACCTTTTGGCATCATCTCTGCACTAAATCCAGGAAGCATTGAAAACACCTATACCTCAAAAAAGGAACATCAATGATGTGCAACAATAATGATGTCAATCAACCTCTAGAAGGAAAAGCAAGTAGGCATGCACAAGCTTTGTAAAAGAAAAAAGACCAAAGAGGGGGGAACAGCTGACGAGTTCCCATCCAATTAAACTAATGTTTCATGCGTTAAAAATACTTGTGGAAAGAAATTAATGCTCAGACTAGATTCAATTGATTTAAAATCCATTAATGTGTTACCAAGAACAAGCATCAGTATATCAATGTTTCCTCGAGAAGCATCTAGTCTTGATCGGCAAGTCAAGCTAAAAGCTAGATAGGATCCAATTTAATTTGAGTTAACAAATTAACACGAGTTTAAGTCTCATTGCTAACAATAATATTTGACCATAAATAATTTGCAAATAATGGATGGGACATCCTTATTTGCAAATACTGAACTTCAATATTTGAAATATTGGTAAAACATTAAAAAACTTGTTTGAGGAGCATTTCAAATGATATAATGGTTCACTCAGACAATTACCAACTTTTTTTCAAGTGAAATTCAAGTCCAAACACAATAACTTTGAAATACCTTTTTTTTTCATAATCAGCTTCAAACTCTTTTTTACAACTTCATCCAAAATATTGCTCAAAGACAATACTTTCAAATTATATTTTTCAACTTCAATCAAATATTGTCCAAAACCCTACAAAGTGTTTTCCAACTATTTTCAGTGGATATCAAATTCTTTCAACATTTTTTTTTTTTTTTGAAGAAATTCTTTCAACATTTGGTGACATTCGAAATCCTTTTGCCATTTAAATCCCTACGATTTTTGCAATGGATAGCACTATAGGAAATTAAAATCAACATTATGAAAAGGTTTACGTGTAAACAATAACTTGCCTACTGACAAATTTAAATTCTTGGAAGGATTCATAATCTACCAATCAACTAGCAGGCTCCAAATGATCTTCAACTTGCTCAAGTTAATAGATCAGTATTTACAGGTTTCTAAAACAGAAGAACAAGGACAAATTGAAACAAGCCTAAGAGATCTTCTAGAAGAACAATGAAAAAAAAATGACCTTGTAAGCTTTTGTGATATATTATAGGAAAGCTGTTTTTTCCTAACGAACTGTAAATAATGAAAATTCTCCAAACCAAAATTCTTCTTTTGGTATGGTTTGGGAATTTGTTTTGGAAACAAATGATTTTAGGTTTGGCTATCGAAAACAACTGTGTTTTTAGATTTAATATTGAAAAAAAAGTAGTATTTTCAGATATGAAGTTATGAACTTCTGAAATGATATTACTACATCCCTAAACCATCGAAACCAACTTCATATGGTTAGAAATCTCAGAAATATTAGGAAAACATCTTCATTTGCAACTANAAAATTGGCCTAGAAACGTATCAACCTCTTACCTCAATGAACAAAAAGAAGGCTGAAAATCAAATTTTAGAAATTAGAAACCAAGACTGAAATTACTGATTTCTAATACCAACTTGTATTTTCATGTAGGTTTTAAAACCTAACACCAAAACTCTTTATTCCAGAAAGAAGCCAGAAAACCAAAAATATTTATTCTAGATTTGTGTCATGAATGATATAACATTCAGAAAAAATTTGCCAAGTTTCAAAAGAGAAGAGAGAGAGAGAGAGAGGAAGTGCGGGGGAATCAGATTAATGTATGTGAGCAGCAAACCTGGCCAAGAGGACCCATTTTAAGCATGTTCTGAAATTGCTCGTACATAATCCTGAAGGTAAAATGTCCTTCTGATAACTTCTGAAGAAGCTCAGGCTGTTGATCCATTGGGACCACGTCTTGTATCTTGTTCACCAATCCAGACAAGTCACCCATGCCTGGTAGATATTTCAGGAGAACAAAGTCAATGTCAGTGGAAAGAGGAACATAGTCCAAGCAAAGTTGAAAATATCAACAGAAGAGATGCAAACCTAAAAGACGGCTGACAAATGGTTTAACATCAAAAGTTTCGAACTCGTCCATGTGTTCACCAGTTCCAATAAATATGATCGGACTTTTAGTTGCAGCAACTCTGCATATGGAAAGAGCAAAAGAGCAAATATATAAATCAAAAGAAACAGGCCATAAAAATTCACCAGAACATTTGGAGAAAACTTGATCCTACTTATAATTTGAGAATATCAATAACCAATCCTTGTGAAGCCCCCAAGGGGATATGTCCTAGTGGTTGTGGCACAGAGTGACAACCTGGATATCCCAAGCTCTGTATCCCAGTTACAGCACTAGATGTGAGCCCATTTGCTCCTGCCTTGGTGAGCAAGACTACAACGGTAACTTGTGCCTGTGGGCTTCACAAGCTGTCTACTGGATTAGTCGAGGTGCCCGCAAGACCGCAAACTTGACCGAGACACCACAATATTAAAAAAATCCGTGTAAACAAAAGATGCATATATATGCTAAAGAGGCAGTAAAAGTTTTTTCTTCATGATGCAGTAAAAGTTGCAATTTTGCTGCTTTTTGAACCATAAAGCAACTTTAATACCTATGTACAAGCCAAATCGCCTGTTGAAATTTCAAGGCTTAAGCAGTAGTTCAATTTTCACGGTTACAATCGCATCAATTGTTCAGCATCAGTTTCTACATCTTGTTGGATAAAGAATATTCATTTTCTGCAGAGTATCTTTATGGTTTACTAGAGTATTTTGAACTGGTAACCAGAAAGAGATTCCCTCTTAACCAGAAAGAAGCAAATTAACAGCCTGTATCACTCCCAAAACAACAACAACAGCAGCAGCCTGCAACTTTGAGCTACCATAGGTGAAGTTTCTAATCTTAAATAACTGACATCATGAGCTTAACATATGTTCCATATTTGGCAGAGTACCCAGAACTATAAGAAGAAAAAACTGTAAGGCTACATCCAAGTCATTAAATACTTACGCACTTAGGGCACCACCTCCTTTTGCATGGCCATCCATCTTAGTAATAATCACGGCTCCAACTGCAACACTTTGCCTAAATGCTTGAGCTTGATCAAAAGCAGCTTGTCCGATGCTACTATCCATAACAAATATCACGAGATCCGGTTTCTGGGGAAAACGATAAGATGAGCATCTAATTAAAGGAAAAAAAATTAGAGCAAAGTAAAACATACCGTTGCTTCAGAAACTTGTCGCATCTCTTCAAAAAGAGCTGCTTCTTGTTTGTGGCGCCCACTGGTATCCACAATTATTAGATCACAATTTTCCTTCTTAAATGTCTCTACACCGTCCACAGCTATTTTGACTGGGTCTGATTCTGTATAGCTGTTGCAGAAACATTTGTTCAGTTTAACCAAGATGACCTGTAGTGCTGATCAGAACAATGATGCAGTTCAAAAGGACTTGACTATTAATTACAGGTTCAGTCCTATTCAGCAAGAGACACAACAACGGTAGATTCTATTCAAAGCAGGTAAACTGTATATTCCTACAACCTAATAACAATAGGAACGGCTTTTTCCTCCCTCCTCCTTTACCCTTTTGGGGAAATTCAGCTTAAAACAATTTTAAAGAAAATGTTGTAGTAGTAGATGATGACTCTTGCGCAACTGGCAGCTAATCAACTTTAATCTTGTAACATTTCTTAGCAAAGTACCATTCACTTTTCACTATGCACCAGGCAATGCTTCTCAGATTTCATCCTCCACTTACCTAATCAAAATGCACTTTGAAATTGGCAACTCCTATGAACCTATGGCATGGTTTATTGATTTAATTAACCAAGCAAAAATTGATGAGTTTTGGCTTATTCTGTCAGGAAGAAGAACAGAGTAACATTGATCATCATTACTTATTAGATAAGAATGGGAATCATGCTTCTAAACGTGTGTACTGGGGAGATAAGAATAAAACTAATAAATTCAGAAAAGGATATACCTTCCATAAAAGGGAATTTTAGCTTTTGTTGCATTCTGCTTCAATTGATCGAATGCACCAGCTCTGAATGTATCTGCACACACTAGAGCTGGCTTCCAACCTTTTTTCTGGTGGTAAAAAGCATATTTTGTAGATGTTGTAGTTTTTCCGGACCCTGCCCGAAATTTCAAATAAATAAGAATACCATCTTGTAATTGAAAAATAAACAAGCTTGTAATTCTTCATTATAATAAAAAATTAATGCTAGCTCAGGTATTAGCTTTGCTACAATACCATAGAACATAAAACTAAAGTAGAAAATCAAATGAACACACCTTGCAAACCAACAAACATTACAACACTAGGTTTCCCTTTTTTTGGTGTAAATGAAGGCTTCCCAGGGTCCAATATCTTGCACAGCTCATCGAACACAGCCTATACAATTGAAAGAATGCAGTTAATTTCCAGCCTGTAATGAAAATGTTTAAACAATGGATATAAAAAAAGTAAAGAAAAAGAATATCGAACCTTTTGGATGATCCTACGCTTGTTGTGTCCAGCGGCAAGATCATCAAGATTGACAATTTTTTTTATATTTGTGGACATATCGCGGACAAGTTTAAATTGAACATCGGACTGGAGAAGAGCACGTGTGATCTCATTGAGGCATTCGTTAAGGACCTTCTCGTCAATGATTGTGGCATTGCTCATCTGCTGGAGAGCACGCGAGATGCTCCCCCCTAATTGTGCTAACACCATCTTGACGTAGATCTAGAAGAAGATCGATTACCGAAATTAACAAGTAGAACACAGGATTTTTTGGGGAAATTGAATTCGTGAACGGGAACTGATTAGGGCGACGGCTTTGGGGAGGAAAATTTGTTCACCGGCGGTAGAGTTTCCAACAGTTTACTTATAAGGATATGCTTTGGCGAGAAAGAGGAGGAACGCCGTCTTTGTTGAACCCGGATCCGAGAACTCGAACCAAACCCTCTTGTTTTTGTGGGCCCGGATTTCAGAAATTATAAGAAAAAAGAAAACTAAAATTGTGATTCAATTAAATATATGTTTCAAGTATTTCAATAAATCATTTAAATCTTTTATATGAGATAAATGTGAAAATAATAAAATAACATAATTTGATCTAATAATGAGAAATTCTTATGTTTTCTTATTTGATATCATAAAAATAACATTATATCATATAGAAAATGCGATGATAGTTTAGTACTTGATAATTATATTTTATCACAAAATTTGTGATATTTCATGTTTCATAGATTTGAAAATTGGATATTTCAAAAATCTAATTATCTTATGTAACAAATATGTAAAAAGGATTATTCATTCTCTTGGTATTTTAAAGTTTTATTCAATCTATTTCATTTTATGCTATACTATTTCCGTTTTAGCTTTTAAAAAAATAACATCAGTTTACAAAAGGCAGTCCTATACATAAAGCATCTCGCATTCACGAAGGGTATTGAAAAACGTCGCACCCCAAGGGGGTGAATTAGATAGACTAGCCTAATACAAATATTGATGGCTATTTCAATAGTTCGAACATTTGACCTATAGATTATATGGAGACAACTTTATTGTTGCTTTAAGGCTCCCTTCCGAAAGTGACATCTATTTATATTTAAAAATAATTTAACTTTTTATTTTTCTTTAATAATATTATTTTTATTTCATGATATATTTAAGATTACATACTAAAAAGTTTTTCTTATTTTCACTTAAAAATGAACCGGTGAGAGTAGAATATTATGCAGAACTTTCAATTTGTTTAATTTGTAGTTTTTAATAGATCCGTATGATCCGGCCTTAGTTTGACCCGTATAGCGGGAGCTCAGTGTATCCGGGTGTCCTTTAATTTTATTGAGAGGCAAAAGAAGAAAAGGAAGCCAGCTCTTTTGTCCATTGGATGAGGAGGAGCTAAATTTCTGTGGCTATTGTGTACACTTCCAGTGGAGCTTCAGTTGCCATTTGAGGACATGGAGGCTGCCGCATTGCGACCTACAAAATTCCCGGCGACATGTTCCGCCTCAACCTCAATGTCGTCTCTTCAGCTGCCGTCTGCAGCATCCGTCGGATTCCTCGTTCCAAAATCTTTCAGAATGACTTCCTCCTTTAAGACGCCCATGGTTGCCCGAGCTTCCGACCCCAAAACTGACCAACCAAATCCCAGCACCGATGAATCTGGCCTTCCTTTCCTACCACAGGTTACCCGCAGTCTCTCCCTTTAACTCCTCTGAGAACAATTAACTTTTCGTTTAAACACGATTTTCACGACCATTTTGGCAATATTTTCAAAACCTTAACGAGTAATTTATTGTATTTTATTTGATTATTATTTACATACTACTACTCACTTGTGAGGTCGTTTTTGAAATTTGATGATAAGCAGGAGGATTTGAACTTCTTATTAAAACTGGGAGTGGGTTCAGTCGCCGGAGGAGCTGCAATAAAGTACGGAAGTGTTATTTTCCCAGAGATAACAAGACCAAATATTACATTGGCTCTCTTTATGATATCAGCTCCGGTGGTTGTTGCCGCTGTGCTCTTATTTTTGCAAAGTCGTGCAGATTCAAATGAGTAACCATTACGGTCATTTCTGAGTGACCAATCTCTGTAGCAATCTCTTGGAATAGAAAGTCTAGGGAATGGGCGTTAGGAGCCCTAGAATTTGAACCTAATTGTTTTATCCTATTCAAAATCGTCATAAATAAAAGTCAATGAGATGAGTACTACTCCCTATCCAAAATAAATAATTTTTTAGTTGTTTTCGCACATATTACCTTTTAACATTAATTAGTAATAAATTAACCATATTAACCGTTACTATCTCTTCAAATAAACACTCCTAACACATACTACAACACTATTAACTCCAAAAGCAATGTAGGAAAAAAATAATTAATTCATTCTTGAAATCTGAAAAAATCACTTATTTTAGACCACAAAAAAAAGACTAAAAAATCAATTATTTTAGACCGGAGGAAGTATTATTTAGTTCGCATAACCTTATGGTTTTTTTGTCGGTGTAAAGCATGCGCAGTGAAACTCAACAATTGGACGGTAAGCATCATGGGAATACAATTATTATCAAAAAAGAATTAACTTCTTTTTCCCAAACTTGCTCTCGGAGTAAAGAGTATAGGAGTAGTTTGTTATATTTTTAATGAGCAAATTAAGATTAATTATAATCAATTTTATTGTTAATTAATGCTAAAAGGTGAATTCCTTAGTACGTGTGAAAAGAGCCAAAAAAAAATCATTTGAAGTGGACATTCATGTCTTTGTGTGACACTGATAAGTCTACTTAATTTACAATTAGGCAGGGTATCCGCAAAAGATATCAATCAGTTCATGTTTTATTAATGATGACTTATTTGGGTTTTAGACATTAATCCACCTCGTATATTTTCAGTTTCAACAGTGTGTTGATACATCGTAACACAAAGTAGTGTGGCTGTGACGTGAATAATATGCAATGATGCAAGGATAATTATCGGTATTTCAAATATATGTCCTGTGAAGTACAAGTAATATGAGGAAAATACAAATATTTTTGACAATTGCAAACATCAGATGAATTTCGTGTTTCCTTTCTCGGATTGATGAGTGTTGTGTTGCCCACGACATATCATTTTTAAAAGGACAAAGATAGAAGCAAATAGCAATCTACCTCCACTAAGATAAAAGGAAATCCAAAATGCTCCGACTTTTCTTCGTTTCTGGTAAGTGCTTGTGACATACAAAATTTCTTACATAATAATTTAGCTGTTAGAATCCAACTCATGGACCTGTTTGAGGTGGAGAAGAAGTATTGCCAGAATTTACAAGGGGCGAAGAATCAGGTATCCTAAAAAAATAGGGTGGCTGGATTCAATTTCTCGGGCAGAATCAACAAAAAAGTTATTCCAAGAAATAAAGTGCCGCAAGATCCTATAGATGCTGTTCTGAGGATCATAAAATTCAATGCCACTGCTGTATAAAAGAGGATTGTATGAAGCAGTCCCATAACTGAGGATTACAGGTTGTCTCTTAACCATTTTAGCGCACCATTCACAACAGACCTGCAATCACAAACCTTTACTTAGGAGCAAGAAATATTGGAAACAGGAAAAAAAATAGAGCTAGGAAACTAAACCAAAACGTGGATAAGACCAATTATTGCAGAATTAAGGCGACGCCAATAAGAAGTGTCAGGGATGATGCAAATTTTATTGGTAAACCAAAGTCCAACACCAAGCTAAAATATATGCCTATAAGTAAAATGTCTTTCTACCGGGGCTCTGTGAATGTAAGTAATGTCTATTTTCTAGCACGTTTGCTCAATTCATACAGGAAAACGACTTATATGGTTAATGATCATGGGCTCTACCCATGGTTTTAGACCAGAAAGCTAAATTACCAAGAACTAAATACTTTCCAAGAAAAATCCTAATTAAAGAGTAATGTCAAGAAATTTACCCAGCAAAATCTGTTAACTTCTTCAATGGATCATCTTGATCTTCTGATGACTCATCGGTTTTTGCTGTACTTGAATCTGAATCTACTGGAGTTTCTGTAATTTTAGCTGCAAAGCAGAAAAACATGGGTCAATTCTTATGCTAGAGGAATGGACCGACTATAAATGAGATATTCATTTTGACACCCAAGTGCCATGGCTTTTGGTTTACTCAACCTGATTATAATTTTCCTACATTTAGAGCAACAGGTGTTTCCCCTTTTGAGTGAGGAGAATTTCTAACCTTTGATACTGAGAGTGAATTCAGAACATGATTTTCTTATCCTCGGAGTGAAAAGTAATTTTCTGTTGGGACAGTTGTATAGAGGAAGGATACTAACACCCGAATGAGTTCCTAATCAAGGGCTCTATATTATTCCCGAGAGCACCCTCAAAAAAGGATTTCCTCTCCCCCTAATATTCTTGGTTAAGAAAACGTGAAGCAGCATTTATATAGTATGGGATGGAATCAATATATCATTTCTCAATTCACAAGTAATTATATACTCCTCTTGTTCTCCGCATTTGATTTTTGCATCAGTTTTAACTTCTTGAAGAATCTCACAAATTTCCAAGTCAAACGTAGTGGTTGATCTTGGGGTGTTTAAGTAACTATCCAAATACCATGCTTCCTGCTGTTGCTGTTAAAAACTTAAAGTAGCCAAAACTTATAACTGAACTCGCAAATGATTCATATTCATATTTATCAATAGCATCGCTTGCAGAACACATGACCCAGGTCTAGTTCTAGACAAGATAAGAGGTAGCATTTATTTGGAAGGATATATGCAATACCATCAGCCAAACAAGTGACAAATCACAACCCAGTTTTCATGATCTCTACCATTCATGTATAGAGAATTGAGGAAATGACGAGTCAAGTAGTCATATACCAGTTGGCTGAACGGTTGGTCGAGGTTTTGTACGAATGCTTGATGCCTTATTTAGGGATGCAAGTTCTTCAAGCAATTCACGTTCCTTCACACTGCAAAATATAGAAGAACCAAGTAGATAAGAGAACTGACATGTATAATTAGTTCATCATCTACAACTTAACACTTGCACACCTGATGCGTTTTGGTATGCTAACTTTAACCGTGAACAAATGATCCCCACGTATTGATGGCTTATTCAGCTTCGGTGCACCTTTTCTTGCCAAGACAAGCACATCCCCAGGTTGAGTGCCTGGAGGAATCTGGAGATCGGTCATCCCTTCCACTGTTTTAACCTGACGAAAACATCAGGAGAAGCAAAAGCACTAAGAAATATGATGTCAATAAAGGCAATTGAAGGAAGGGCAAAATGAGGTGGCCTTTACAGATGCCAGGCATTAGTTCTTTCAAGAAGGACTAATCTTCCAAGCGAACAAACATAGAATATAGAAGGATCTCGTCATATGGCAGAAGAAGTTGAGTACAGTACTATCATGCATTTGTTGTGTGAAGAAATCTAAAAACTTGTGAAGCTTTCAGAATCTTGTATTCATTTCTGTTTCATATTTCAAGTAGATGTACCTAGCCCCAGTAGGAACCCCCTGGATCTGATAGGGGAAATTTCTTGAAAGAGGCTCATTTGAAAGGAGCACGCACCAATTTTTATGAGAACCAATTTGGCTTCATACTAAAAAATCTGAATGTCTAATTTCCTGATTCACCAAAAACATACTTCCACACATGCTTTATCATGAGGATAACATAATTATTTACATTGAGACAATTATAATAGCGGTATAGAGACATAAGGCTATAATGCATCACTATCTTATTTCACATTCTTATCAGAATATGACAGGAGTCAAGGCAAAAATCATTTAAAAATTTACCTTAACAGCAGCCCCAAGTATAGCATCTAGATAACCAACTGAAACTGTTGAAATCAGATTTATGCCATCTCTTTGGATCTCAGGTATCTCTTCAATGTCAAGATAAACAAAAAGATCTCCAGGTGGGGCCCTGCAAAACAAAGACAGATCAATAAACAACCTGAGCTATAAGTTCTCAATCTCAATTTGTATATGAACATCAGAATTCACATTAAAGGTTTTATATCTTTCCCTTTTCTTCTGTATGATTAGCATATTTACATTTGACAATATAAAGGCCAGCAGAAGAGTACTATGCGATTGCATAACGAATGATAGGACAGATCTATTCGGCTATTGGCTCTATTGGTAAATTATCACATCAGACAGAAAGTGCAAATAACACACATAGAGGACAAAGTGAAATGGCCCCCTGAGATGGTTATCATATCCTTTTTAGACCTCCATGCGCACCAGCCCGGAGGTTTCACACCATGATGATTCAAGATGTTAGAAGAAGACGAGGTGGACCTAAAATCACAAATAAGGGAATTTTCTCAAAGATCTAGAATCTCTAGCAATCTGTGCAGACTTAGACGACTTAGAGAATAATAAAACAAAAATGGAAGCAAAAGGTCCATATAGGCGATACACAGTATTTGGAATTAAATCTTAGTCATGTTTGTACACTTACTTTAGATCCAATATTTGCTAGGAGTCTTTTAAACTGATTAGAGATTTATATATTAAGAAGGACCTATGTGGCTCGGATCCTCCAAAATGTCGCCAAACCCATGTCGGTACTCCAAAAATATTGCATCTTTTGAGAATATGAGATGAGTGCTGTAATTTTCGGAGGATTTGAGCAACATAGTCAAGGACTAAGGAGTATTTGTTGAACACTCATCCAGACATGCTAGTTTTAATCAAAGAATTTCACTTGCATTCCCCACATGCCCAAACAGCAACAGGGAACCCCTACATTTCCCAAGATCGTGACATCACTTTGACAGAAATGCCCCACTAAATGGCCCACTGATTTTGTAGAATAACCAAAATTAAACACACTAATCAATATAATACACTCTTAATCTGAAATCATCTTAATAACAATGAAAAGCTTCATTCTATCATTCTTCATCTTTTATCTTCTCCTAACCCAACCCAAACCAACCCTTTATAAATCAACCTGGTATTTGACAGATGGAATTTGGAAAATTATAAGCATGGTTGAATGGATGAACATGGAAATAGTGAGCAATAAGTTTAAGAAGGGTAGCTCAAACTTTTCTTCTCTTACTCTCATCTTTTGAGGTGTTGCTATGGGTTTAATTGTTTATAGCTAAGTAACAGCTCATTTCTGTAAAGGAGTCAAGGCAGCAGCTTTTCCTTTTACTCTTTCTCTTTACAGAGTGAGAAGCATATTTGGAATACAA